ATAATAATAATAATAATAATAATAATAATAATAATAATAATAATAATAATAATAATAATAATAATAATAATAATATAATAATAATAATAATAATAATAATAATAATAATAATAATAATAATAATAATAATAATAATAATAATAATAATAATAATAATAATAATAATAATAATAATAATAATAATAATAATAATAATAATAATAATAATAATAATAATAATAATAATAATAATAATAATAATAATAATAATAATAATAATAATAATAATAATAATAATAATAATAATAATAATAACCGAATTCGAGTTCATCATTAATTAATATTTTTAAAAACTTATCTAAATAATTAACTTTGATGAATAATATGACAATTAAAATAATTTTATTTATCTTTGTATTCACAAAAATTATAAATAATATTTCTAGTTCATATAATATATAATTTAATTTTAATTTCAAAATAATATTTATAATTAAATATATTATTATTAAAAGTAGATAATATGAACAGATAATAAAATATTATAACTTAATTTTGTAATATATATTTTACTATCTTAAATTTGAATTTTTTTTTAATCGATAAAATTGTAAATTATGTTAAATGATATAAATAAATATGAACACTAATTATATTGTTTTGTGAAATTTATATATTAGGTCAGTTCAATTTATTTATTTTAGAAATTTAATTTTGAACTTAAATTCGACTAATTTAATTCATAAACCAATTCTAACAAATTAATTATCTAATTCTCAACTATTTTCGAATTGATTCAATTTATTGTGAGTCTTAATTAAAAAGTATTAACCAGAGTTTATTTGGATGTTCTGCATTTGTGGGTTTCTGAATATTTATAGATTGAGATGGGTTTTAGAAAGAAATTTATTTTAGCAACAAATTTTGATTGTAGCTTCAAAACAGATTTGATTTTATGAATTTAAGGAAAAAGAAGAAGAACACAAATAAAAACTCAGAAAATATTTTAGTGAGTGAACGGAAATGACTAATGTGGTCTTAGATGAACTTATCCAGTGAAGAAAGCGGCTAAGGAATCGTCTGAGGAGAGTCAGAGATTTAGGTAACATGCAATTCTAGGGTTTTATACTTGCTTTAAATTGCAATTGTAGCTACAATGTTGTGGGTTGTGAGCTTAAAATTGATGTTAATGGGGAAATTGTGAGGTAGCTATGGGTCAACGATGATTCATATTGAAGTCATTACTTAATTTCATTTTGTGCAAACCTATTCAATCTTGAGTAATTTGTTTCTTTTCATGCTCATATTTAAGCATTAGTGTGCATGATATAGTCGGTTTCGGATTTGCAAATTGTAAATTAAACCTTCATATTTTGCTTTTGCATTTCGTGATAACTCAAAATCTCATATCATTAATGTTGTTTGAGAAAAGATCACAACCCAATAAAAGAACGAAAGGATTAAAAAAATTAACATCATTCAATTCCATACATATGCAATAGTTTTATATTTTAGCAAACCAAATAACCGCTTTGTGCGAATCCATGTTTTGTCATATGAGCCTGGTAGGTACTCAAGTAGCACATAACAAAATGGCAATAGCAAGTACACTGGTTGACAACTTCTTTCTCCATTGTCCTTGGTATGATGCTGCCCCATTCTGTGAAACATAAAATCACAAGATTTGGTAAAGAAGTTTAAGCCAGTTTTCGCACATGCGAAAAGCTATTTGGATTTTATCTGTGTAAGTTAAAGTGAAATGGAAAAGGATATTACCGCATTGGGACTGGGTGCTGGTGATGGTGTTTCATCTGAATCCACTGGAGTAGTATCATCAGCTAGGGGCGCTGGAGGACTCTTCCTAATGATTGTTGAAGTTGTAGGCTCTGGAGCTAGAGAATGTGTGTGATGTTTCTTATGCTTATGCTTGTGTCTTCTTCTCCTGTGCTTGTGGGGTGGCGGTTCTGGCGCATCATCTTCAGGTGATGGTGCTGGTGCTGATGATGGTGTGTCCTATTGCAGGTGTTGGTGCAGGTGATGGTGGGATAACTGCTGGGGAAGGAACAGGTGATGATATTGGTGCTTTCTTTTTGTGATGTGGTGCTGGTGCTGGTGCTGGTGCTTTCTTTTTGTGTGCAGGTGCTGGTGCAGGTGTTTCTTTAGCTGGTGCTGGTGCTTTTGGGGCCTTTGCAGGTGCTGGGGATACCTTTGGCGGTAAAGAAGCTGGCGGCAATGGTAATGGTGAAAGCGAAACAGGTGGTAGAGAAACAGGTGCTTTTTTGGGTGGGTGTGGTGGTGGAAGACTTTTAGGAGATGGGATTTTAGGGCTTAATGCTGGTGTAACCTTGGGGATCGGCAGTTTTGCAGGAGCAGGTTTTGGAGGGTGTGGAACTGGTGATTTCACAGGTGCAGATGTTGGAGGTTTTACTTTTGGAACTAGTGGTTTCAAAGGAGCAGCAATTGGAGTGGTATGTTTTGGAACTGGTGGTTTCAAAGGAGCAGAAGCCGGAGTCGTAGCTTTTGGAACTGGTGGTTTCACAGGAGCAGATGTCGGAGTCGTAGTTTTTGGAACTAACGGTTTCACAGGAGCTGAAGCCGGAGTCGTAGTTTTTGGAATCGGCGCTTTTACGGGAGCGGATGTTGGTGATGTAGCTTTTGGAACTGATGGTTTCAAGGGAGCGGATGTTGGAGTTGTAGCTTTTGGAACTATTGGTTTCACGGGAGCAGATGTCGGAGTTGAAGCTTTTGGGACTGGTAACTTAACAGGGGAAGATATTGGGGATATAACTTTGGGAACTGGTGACTTCACAGGAGCGGATGTTGGAGTTGTGACTTTGGGGATTGGTGACTTCCATGGTGAAGATGTTGGAGTTGTGACTTTGGGGATCGGTGACGTCCAAGGCGAGGTTGGAGTTGTGACTTTTGGGATCGGTGACTTCCAAGGCGAGGTTGGAGTTGTGACTTTGGGTATCGGTGACTTCCAAGGAGAGGTTGGAGTTGTGACTTTGGGGATCGGTGACTTCCAAGGCGAGGTTGGAGTTGTGACTTTGGGGATCGGTGACTTCCAAGGTGAGGTTGGAGTTGTGACTATGGGGATCGGTGACTTCCAAGGCGAGGTTGGAGTTGTGACTATGGGGATCGGTGACTTCCAAGGCGAGGTTGGAGTTGTGACTTTTGGAACTAGTGCCTTGGAAGGTGCAGTAGGGATTATTATGGTTGGTAATTCGGAAGGTGCTGCTGCTGTGATCGTGGTTGGGGGTTTGTTCCAAGTAGGAGAACTAGCTACAGGTGTTTTCTTTGTACTACTAGCAGGAGTTGCTGCTGCCACAACAGGTTGTTGTTTGTCTACATATGGTGAAGTTGCAATTGGCCATTTAGAAGGAGTAGACGGAGTCGTGGTTGGCAATGTGGATGGTGCAGATTGGGTTATGGTTGGCCACTTTGATGGTGCAGATTGGGTTATGGTTGGCCACTTTGATGGTGCAGCTGCATGTAATTGAGCATTAATCGAAGCTAGAGGGCAGCACAGGTTTGCTAAAGCCAATGCCCAAAACACTACAACCATTGTAGAAATGTATGTGATTTTACTGATTTGGTTGAGAGTTTTAGCTTGTTATTTATGGACTATGGTTTGTGACTTATGATAAGCTGATTTAGTTGAAATGTAATACTTGAGAGGTGTAAATGATATGGTGCAAGAGGAGATGTACACTTCTTGCAGATGCAACATCTATACTAGAATATCAACAGTGAAAAAAGTATACATCAAGGGACCAATGAAATCAGAAACTCTTGGTTTGCATGTTTGTGAGAACATGATTTTACCAATTATATCTACATATGACCTATATTATATTTATGGTCACAGGGTTATGTTAAAATCTGATGATCCAACATACCAATGTGATTATGATAGGAAGAAAAAAAAGTACGTTTAACAATTATGTTCATGCTTAAAGTGTTATGCATGCTGGTAGTTGGCTTGTGTTTGGTTAGCGTTTTCTCTCTATTTTTTTGCTGAGAGACAGTAAAATTGTAGTAACGTTATAGAATATGTGTTAACCGTCCATCAATTTTATGTGTTGGGATCTAAAAGTATTTTTTATTAAGTTTAATATCACTTCGTCTCCTTGTTTTACCACACTCGTGAAAGTAGTCTTCCTAGTTCCTATTAATTGAGCTATTTGATCTCCCAAATATTACATTTGTTGCAATTTTGGTCTGAGCCTATAATTTGTAATGTATCTATGAAAGGCAATTTATTTTCCACCTTACTTTGACGAAAAGTCAAAAATACCTCTTAAATTTAGGGATGCATCTCCGAACGCATAATTTTTACACAAAATAAGTGCTAATTGTTGAGTACCTTTATTTTGCCAAACTTTAATTCGGAGATACATCTCCGAATGTGTTTCAGGGTTTGTTTGCAGATATATTTCTGAATTAACTCTTGTTTTCAAACTAAAGGAACTCTTCAGAGATGCATCTCTGAAAGTTTATATATATATATATATATATATATATATATATATATATATATATATATATATATATATATATATATATATATATATATATATATATATATATATATATATATATATATATATATATATATATATATATATATATATATATATATATATATATATATATATATATATATATATATATATATATATATATATATATATCGCATATATATATATATATATATATATATATATATATATATATATATATATATATATATATATATATATATATATATATATATATATATATATATATCGCGTATCAGACTCTCCTTCTTCCCCTTCTTTATTTTATGAATATTTTTCTTCTCCCATTGAAGTTCGTGAGCAACCCTGTTTCAGTCAATTTTTCAAGCAACAAAAGAACCTCTACTTCAATCTTACAAATTGCAACTCACTACATATACTACATTTAACATTATTCATCCTTATCAATATTTATTTGAAAATATTTAACTTATTTTGATTTTTTAGTAATGTATTAGGTAAAATAGTTTACTTTTAATGTATTAGATAGTATTAGAATTAGAAATAGGTAACGTTACATATATGCACTACGATTTTGATGCATTTTGGGTTGTTAAGACAAGATTAGGAACTGCTTATGCCAATGAAACAAAACATGAAGCTTTTTCGGAGATGCATCTTCGAATTGAGACATTTTTTTGTTTTCGGAGATGCATCTTCGAATTTGATCCTTTCTGCTACAGAATTTCAAACTAATATATTTTTTCCTTTTTTTCAGAGGAATGGCTGCAAATAACAACAGAATGAGACTCTGTCGTGAAATCCTAACTGCGTCCGCTCGCCACGAGAGGACTCTTAAAATGAGCAGGCCAGAGCTATGAGGGAAATTGTCCCTAGGCCTCATGAAAGAGAAGCGTCGACATCTAGGAGTCATCTCTCTCACAGGGGTCCTTATCTCAAGCTCACGTACACTAGAAGGAAGTCCATGCTGCACGTGATGGCCTCCCTCCACTTGCAGACCCTTATTCAGGAGGGCACATTGACACCGCATTATTGATACATTATAGAGACCATGCGACTCTATATGTCTGGGCCATAGAGGTATATTTGTTAACAGTTGTTATTTTTCTAGTTTAACTAAATTCAATGCGACTGATATTGTTATATTTTATTTTTAACAGGAACATGATTGTTTGAAATCTGTTAACCATGCCAGAAAGATTCACAAGCTTTATCAGTCTAAGGATGAGTGGTTCCAAAGTGTCATCAAATACTTGGGTCTGTCCGTCTGTGTTCTTCCGGATACGCAACCATCAGTCCTGGCATACAAGGGGATTTTGCTGAGAGATGGTGTTGGCTAGAATTTTCGTAAAGAGAGAAATTCAAACCAAAAGTTAAAAAGGTTTTTAAGAGCATTAAAGAGCATTATATTATGATGGATCAACTACATAAGCATGTCGACCATGGATGATCTCACTGGTAATCGACCAAAGTTTCGTAAATGTAGTCGATCAGAGAAGGGTTCATGGTGAATGAATTAGGCCCAAGAGATGTAAGAAGCCTAAAAGGGTTAAAAGGCCCATAAGCGCCTAAATTGCAAAGGCGAAGCGTTATAGAGGGAAAACGTAGATTTGATATCAGGAGTGATGAACGTGGAATCATGGAGGGAAGTTATGAAGAACACGTGGCATGCAAGGAAACGAAACTCACTTAAACAGTAGTTATTTCTGTGTATTATAAATAAAGCACTTAGTGCACTTTGTAAAGGGTCAAACTTTCACATTCCTATACGCTAGTCACTCAGAGTAACCAAGCGAACGAGCGAAATGAGTCAGACAAAGACAATGTAAGTTTGAATCAACCTATTTTCAACCTTTCTTTAATGTTATGTCATTACCTTTTACAACTCAAAATGATTTTTGTCTTATTTACTTTGTCTTTTATCAAGTCGTTTGGCTCTCAGTCAAACGAACCTTTTTGAAAACACTTTAACTATGCACACGAACTGGAGCACTATACTGAGATTCCCTGGCCGATCTCGCCAGTAAACTTGTTTTAAAGAGACCAACGTTGTTTACCAAATCTAGAGGTAAACAAATTGGCACACCCGGTGGGACAGTGCTAATATTTTTTGGACTTTGTGTGTAGTTTTACAAAGTTTCTTATAGTTAGTGTGTATGAATTTGAGAACTGATAAAGTTTTATCTAAGTCTAAAATGCCACGCTCTGACACAAACATTGCACATACGCATATTTCTACACAAAATGTGGATGTCATACCAGTAAGTACCACAACTCAAAGCGCGACAATTTTATCTCCCGTAAGATCGACCACTATTCATGGTTTAGTGACAACAATCGCAATGACAGAATCTAGACATGGGATATCGCCATTTGACCCAAATTGACCACTCTTTCCAGGTGGTCTAGGGTCATCATTTGTCTCTCACCAATATGGTATGCCTTATTCCATGATGGTTAGGTTACAGTCAAACCCTGCCACATATACAGAAAACATAGTGGCCACTGGAAACCAAGGCAGTTATGCCCCAAGTGGTCGACTAGATGGTGTTAGTTATGTCCTGCAGTCGACACCATCTTTGAATACTACATCTGTTATGGATTTAAGGCAACAGATGGATGAGAGTAATTTAGAGTTAGTAAACGTTTTAACTCAACAAATGGGAGTCGCCCTCAATCTTGTAGTTGACCAAATAGGTAGATTGATAGACTCATTAGGGTTCCAACCAACTCAAACTCAAATGTGTCATAGGCCGTTGAGGGTTTTTGAAGAACTAGAGGGGGGTAACAATGAGCATCCTTTTAGACCTCGAAGAGTGGAAGCACCCACTTATGAAGAGGAAGAATTCATTGAACAATATAAACCTAGGTTGGTTGTGGTTAGGAGAAACCAAGATGTTGATCCAGTGTTAAGAAATGCCACTGTTGAACCTAACAGCATAGTAAATATGGTAGAAGAAGTATTAACATGATCCGGAGTAAATGTTGGTCTCCGGAGACCCAATTACCCTTCGCCCTTGCTTGATTACATTCGACAAGTAGAATTACCTAGGGGAAGTAAGGTACCTAAGTTTACCAAGTTTACTGGTGAGGCCAATGAGTCGACCATTGAACACATTGCTAGGTACGAAACAGAAGCTGGCTATATCGCCAACGATGAGAGATTAAAATTATGATTTTTTCCTAATTCATTGACGAAAAATGCTTTTACTTGGTTTACGATGTTGACTCCAAACTCTATACGCACTTGGGAACAACTTGAGGGTATATTTCATGAGCAATTTTATATTGGCCAGCCTAAGATAAGTTTGAAAGAATTATCCTCCATCAAGAGAAGGTCGTCTGATCAATGGAAGAGTATTTGAATAGGTTTAGGATCCTAAAGTCTAGATGCTTTACTAGGGTTCCTGAACATGAGCTGGTCGAAATGATCGCTGGGGGGTTAGATTATTCTATTAGGAAAAAGTTTGATCCTTAATCTATTACGGATATGTCCCAACTAGCTGATAAGGTTTGATATGTCAAACGTTTAAAAACAGAGAAAGCTAGGGTGTTAAAGAACCATAGAAAATGCAAAATTTCTTATGTAAAAACAGATGATTACTCCATAGAGTCTGAGGACGAACACATGGAAGAAGGAGAGGTTAACATGGCCGAATTGAAAGATGGGCCTCCATATGCATGTAAACCTATAAGACTGTCTAAGGGAAAGACGGTTGAAGATCCAAAAAATGATAGCAGTAATACTAAAACATATACTTTTGATGTGTCAAAATGTGATGAAATATTTGATATTTTTGTTTCAGATGGTCAGATTATAGTGCCCCCAGGCACTACCGATCCACCATAAGAGCAAAAACAAAAAAGAGGGTTTTTGCAAATATCATAATTTTTTGGATCATAATACTTCTCAGTGTTTTCTTTTCAGGGATTTGATTCAAAAGGCTTTGAAAGATGGTCGAATGAAATTTGGTGAGAAACCAAAGAATGCTATGAAGACCGACTCAGATCCCTTACATGTGGCTGATGCACACTATGTGGATCCATTTGAAGTGCTGATGATTGAGGCTACTGAGGGCCTCATAGATGAATAGGTAGACATTATCAACTCACTAGCAACATTGACGCTCAAGGCTACTGATGATCTTGAAGACGAACCGACTCTGTCTAGAGCAGTCGAGGCTACTGAGGGTCTCAAAAATGGCAATGACAATTTGTCTAAGCCACATGAAGTGATAATGGTCAATTTCGTTGAAAAGTCTGAAGGTGATCAGGAATGATACCTCAAAACTGGAAATCGTGAAATGCAAAGGAGCTTGATTCAAGGTGCTGCAATGATCAGGTTAGCTTCCTCAAGTTCCCAAGAAGCTAATGCAGTGATTAGCTTGAGCAATGGATGGCTGGAATGGCCTGGAGAAGTCAACTTGCAGTGCTCTATTTTTGGTTATGGAGAATGATGAAAATGGAGTTACAGAAGTGAAACAGGGACAGGGATGGACTATACTTGATGTATAGGAGCTTTGTGATTGATTAGGAAGGGAAATGCACGAGGGAAATGTGAGTTACAAGTTCAAAGTCAGAAATTGTGCATCAATGGTGTTTTGGTGCAAATTCTGATTTGAGGGAGTTTGGGAGAGTTTTAGGGTGTTTTTAGCTCGTGTGTTAACTTGAAAATATGGGCTCTATTTATAAGCAACATGTTTGGAGACTTGTATTTGATCAGAATTCAGAATCACATGTTTAAGCTCAACATGTGATTTTCTTGAGAAATCAAATTTCAATGCCCTTTGTACTTGCTAATGTAGAGTGGTTATGCTTTAAACAAACTTGCTTCTGACTTTGTACATGGAGTGTGATCAGAGGGAACAAGTGAGAGGCTCAAGAATTGACTTTGTGCATAAAGCTTGCTTTTCAAGAATGGCATTGTTAGCTTTCTTCCCAAAATGGCAAGTTAAATTGGACAATGCTTAAACCACTTGGATTATAGCTCAAAAGTTTGTGTAATCCATTAATGATGGATATACAAACAAGTTTAAGGCCTGCAAAGCAAAGATTATGCAGCCTAACATGGATTTGGTTCATGTGTTCATCAAGAAATGACTTGTAATTCAAGAATGAAACCATAACTTCTTGCCTTCGATTCTCCTAGCTTAAATATGTACCAATGAGTTCTTGGACATTTTGGAAAGCTTGTAACATCATCTACAACCTCTATGTTGGACATTTTTGAAGATTAATCTTGGAACTATGTGAAATTATTTCATGAAGTTAGGTCAAAATCCTGCCTAAACTAGGGCAAAATTTCACTAAGTTTCCAAGTTTCATTAACATGTCTTCACAAAATCATAACTTGAAATCCAAGCATTTCTAGAAAAAGTTATGATATATAATGTTTTAGATCTCATTGAGATCTACAACTTTCATGTTGGAAGTTTCCTTTGAATCATCTTGCATCATGGTGAAAATTTGGCTCAAAGTTGTGAAAAAAATGTGAATTTCCAACACAGAAAAAATTCTAAGTTTAGAAATTTTGACTTTTCAAAATGAAATCTTGAATTTTTGATTTCTTGATGAACAAGCTTCATATTTTGATATGTATTGATGAATTGTAATCTTTGAAACTTGATCTTGATCAAAAAGTCAAAGTTTGACTTTTCAGTGCACAATTGACTTTTCATCAGTTGACTGAAAATCAACTATCAATCAATTGATATTGAGAAATGTTTTGAGCCATTCCATTAGGTCAAAATGAAATATTTAAATCCTTGAGATCATGTCTCAAATCAATAAGTCATTTGCCAGGTCAAAAATAAAAAAATTGCACCTTCTTAGTCCAAACCCTAATTTTGACCATTTTGATGATCTGATCTAATTTCTTGAGGAATTGTGATCCAAACTTGATCAATTGACATATATGAGTTCATAATTTTGATATGGATAAAAAATTATGAAGTTTGACTGTAAATTGACCATAATTGACTTTTTCCCCAATATAGCTAATTTTTAGGTCAATTGATCAATTGACTGAGCAAAAATATGATCCAAGACTTGAAACTTGACATGAGAAATCTTGAGGGTCCAAAATGATCCATGAAAGTCATATGGGGAATTTAAAGTCCATTTGTCCTTGTGCAATCTCAAACCCTAATTTTCAGTCATCAATGCTAGATGAGGTGTCTTGAGCTGATTAAACTTTGTACAGTCTTGAATTAGTGGAGATCTTGTGAGAGATTTATTGAGAAATGAGAGGGAAAATTTTAGGGTACAACAGCTGCCCTTGTTCAATCTTCTTAAACCTGAAGAGTTAGATTGGCGGATCTGCCATTCGTGGCTTGAAGGT